ATTATGCACAACGAGGACAAACACGTGGTGGAACATCCTGTATATATATTTAGGTTGTACACCGCACGTTATATAGCCTATACGTTTATTGCTGAAAAATATGTAAGGATTAAAGGATTACGTTAGTTTTTGGCTACGGTACTTCAGCATGCGTATACGTAGTATACATAAACGACCGTAAACTCGTTCGTCCGACGGATTTCGTGTTTGAAATTATTATGGCTGAATTTTTGGTTATTTATATATCACCGCGTAATATTATAGCCAATAGTAGTATTATTTTTCATATTATTATAATACCGGCCTACATGTCCGGAAAGATATAAATGATTGAATAAATCTCGTTCTTACAACATAGCTGTATGCAGATTCGTACGGTTATTTCCGTCGCGTTCGATCACGTTCTACGCATCTTCTGCTACTGGTATAGGTATAAGTATAGGTATACCTATTTAATATAGGTACCAATCTGGTTTTTCAAACGTTTCGTCGTCGACTGCACGATTGTAATAAATAACAATATTAGAACCGTCGCCGAATACAACTACGACGAAAATGATGATGTTGATGTCGACGATGATGTAATACACATATTACGCGTTTATACGAATTTTGGTGCCTAGGTATGACGTATTTCGAACCCACCTGTGATCCTCACCCGTCGTTGTCCCCGTTGTCGTTGATTGCCAAATGCTAGATGGCGCTAGAAATCGGTTCAAGACATACTGACTAAATTCCAATAAAAAAGAGACTACATACGTTACAAACTACGTTACTATGTTATTGAGTACGTGACACGGTCTTGTAGTATACCGAACGATTTTTACTGCTATTACCAAGTTTCGAAAATGTATTTAGCCGGAAATTTCTCCAGTTTTTTTAATTCCATCAAAGACCTATTTTCTATAAGTACCATATAGACGTGAATGGATTTTTCTTTGTCAGTCCGTGTATTTGAAATGTACATACAATCAGAAATAATTACATGGACAAAACTGTTTCGGCGATCAGCGATTATTTAAATTAACATTAATACCTTGATAATACTTTCATTGTAAATCTATCTAAATAGTGTCCTCTACGTCCACAGTCGGATTTAGAGGTGATCACTGCAGGGTGCATATTTTCATAATATACTATCAATAAATTAAATTTGAATGTTAAAACCGATAAGTCGATAAATTGATCGATTTTATATTTTATTTAGCATTAGTAACTTGACCGAAGGTGTTTCTATTATAGACTTAAAAAAAAAACAGTGAAGTCTGAAATTAATGTTATATTCTAAAAACATTATAAAAGCCTATTTAAGCCCACCTACATGACTTACCTATACAAAACATTTGTCCATAAGTAGATAATATTTTTTAAATGCGATTTTTTAATTGATCATCAATCATCATTACACCATCAACAAAAACAACTACTTAAGGAAAATATTAAAAATCAAAACAATTTGTTTTTTGAGTCACTCACGAATTAGAGATTGCCGTTTTCAAGGATAATCGATCTTAGTGAGTAGTGAGTACCTGCCTAAGTCAAGTCCAGGCACGAGTAGAGCGTATAATATGCCTACGAGACTATACTAAGTAACTATCATACAACAATACAGCATAAGTAGCTGTTAAAATGCCATCGAGCAAGTTTACCGACTGCCGAGGACAAACTCTCAATCACAAGCATTTTATGCAGATACAAACAAACAGTACAAAAACATAATTATATGATTAATGCGTTCTGTTGGTAGTATGGAGTAGAACATTATTAATATTTATACACATAATATTATGAGCAATTACCATCCTACACAATGATAGGTATACTCACTACGCACGCGTAGGTATATATATCTAAATGTCTAAATGTTTTTCCGTCATTCGAGGTTTACAAGACGGTTCGTAATAAATTGACTTATTTTGTTATGTATCTATATAAATGGAAATAGTTAAATTTAGTTACCGCTAAAATTCTACATTTTTTTTATCCACTAAAAAAATGTGTATATGCGCTTACCAAAAATTAATATTTAAATTTAGTAACATATGCATTATGCAAAAATATGAAACTATATTATTTAATTTTTACAACTAAGTGGTTTCAATGCACAAAATAAAATCCATTATACTGTGCAGTTAATAAAATACTATAAGCTTAAAATTCGTATAGACTTGAGCATATTTAGTTGATTTTTTTTTTTAATTTCAAACGCAAATCTGTGATTATTAAAGTGTTTAAATATTAAGTCTTAGAAGGTACCTGTATTTGTATCGTCGCTGGTAACGTTTAAAAGTGTTTTAGTAGGTATCATATACCTACGAGTGTAACTCGAGTAGCAATGGAGATAAAAGTATATATAATTATTATATTTACGTGGTAGTGGGTGGCATCCGCAAGTACTTCCATAAGAACACGAAATGTGTACATATTTTTTGTCGGTGTGTTCATTCAAGGTCCGATCGTCACATAATGTTAAACAACCGCACTCGCAACGATTTATTATTATACCTATATAATATATTATAATAATATGTATACGTATATGATTGCATGATTGTTGGATGCGGTTATTAATAAAATATATGTCTGATAATTTATGCGTATTTCCTACGCCATACGCGACATTTCGTTGTAATATTAATAATCGTAATTATTAATTAACAATACATATGCTAGGACGTCGATGTCGGACTCCCACAATTCTACTGCTGGCTCTGAAGGTAGTGACGTACACGAGGACAGCTGAAGTACGACTGTGACCATCAAAAATATTTCTGGGCATACTCCGAATCCAACTATCATTATGATATTTTAATTGTAGGAATCTATATTATTAAATAATATATTTTTTGTTGTTTATCTAATACGTGTAAATAACAACACCAATAATTAACGCTCATTTTTTGTATCGTTTTTTTTTCTTTTTAAAATACTAATATAACAAATCGGGTTAATATATTTAGGACAAATAGTAAATAATATATAATAATATGTATATAGCAAATTTTGAAATAGAATTCAATTTACACATAATTATAATAATAATAATAATAATAATAATATGTAGTCTACTAATTAGCAAAAAAACAAAAAAAAAAAATTACACTAACTTACAAATAAATCAAAATTTACAAGGTACAATAGATATAATAATTATAAAAAATTATTATCCATTTCGTTTAACATTAGTACATAAAATTACGCGAACCGACAATAATCATATTTTTCGGTTATTGATTTTGCCCACATTACATTTTTATATTGCATAAATATTGTAATACATTATATTAAATTGTATTATAATATAATTACGCTCAGATAATATTAAATAATTAATATAATAAATACTTAGGTCGATACAGATGACGATAAAATAATATTGAAGACAAAATATCGGTCGCGCGAGTTCGTTCATAATACAATGTCATAATAAATTATAAATACTTTTTTTTTGCTTTTCATATTCCCATAATCTATATTATTAATATATACAGTAAAATAATTTTTTTTTCCTGAAATCTATTTTAAAAAGAAAAATTTGAGTTCAATCGTTATTTACATAATATATTTGCTTACCTATATAAAATATAACGACGGAACATTAAAATTACCTATTTAATATTTATAAATACGTGGTCTACGCGACGATTTAAGCGTTTTCAAAATAATGGGGAGGAGAGATGGTAGCATTAAAAACAATAATAAAATAGATTTTGGCACCAATAAATAATGTTTAAACACTAAAGTTGAACCAAACGAAAAAAAATATAATGATAATGATAATAATAATAATAATAATAAAAATAATAATAATGAAACTAATACAACAAAATAATAGTCATACATAACCAGAACATAAATAACGTAAAAAAAAAAAAAACAATAGAAAGAAATATTACACATTTATTTCGCAGATATATTTCATATAAATCGCGATGTATAATACTTTAATAAGACTTTGGTTATTTAATTATTATTATTTATAATGAAAAAAATGTGTGTATATTAAAAAGGATTGTAAAATTTGCAATTTAATGCTTTAGCTACATTATATAAAGAAAAAAACTTAACAGAATGAAAGCCGCGATAAACCGTTTTCGTGTAGCTTTTGTAATATTATTATTATTTCGTCTTACTGTTTTAATAATATTGTCGTACATAAATGTTGCAATGATTGTATCTAAATATATATATATTTATAAAGGTATATTCATGAGTGTGAAAAACGTTTTACAATATAAATACTATAGAGGAAATATTGAGAAATCGAAAAAACCGACTAATATCTATACAACTGCAGTTTAAATTAAACATAATATAATATTATATGCATACGACTTGTACAATTTCCATGCGTATATTATATATATTTTTAGATAATTATTTATTAATTATATTACATATTTACACGTCACATTTATTATTTAAATATTAGAAAAAAATATAAGAAAACGCTAAAACTCGCTTAAAGACGGAGATCGATAGTTTTTCGTCTAAACAAAAAAAAAATAATAATAATAATAAATATATAAAAACCACTGGTTATGTTTCGTGAAACGATTTATATAGTTTTATGTATGTCATTATTCATTATTATTATTATAATATTTATTATTATTTAAGTTAGAGGCTAAATAAAAAAAAAGGAAAAAAAGAAACGATAACACATTTTTAAATAAAATTCCTACAACGATGCTTTATAATATTATAATCATATCATCGCATCACACTCAAACGTGTCCAACTCGGGGACTTATTATATTCTACATCATTATATTGCGGCATATACACGTTTCGTTAAATACACATACACATAATACCTAAATAGTAAAAACACGTTACGTTATGTATTGTATATTTAGCCTAATAGTATAATCTCATATATTATATACATAAACTTAGTAACTTAAATTGTATTTCATGTATATTTATAAATGTACACGTTTAAACATTATGATTTATAACATATTATAATATTATAAAATGTCAACACTCTGGAGCCAATGTATTTTTAAAGATGTACCCCTAAATACGTTAATAATAATATTATTAACCGTTTATTCGATTAAAATATATGACGTACTTATACCACGTTTTCCCTACCGTTTTTGAATTTCAAATACTAATCTGTTTTCAAGTGATGATTTTTATTTTTTCGGTTGATCTACGACTGAATTATATTATTTTGTGTTTGAGCGAGATACGGAATAAGAGACAGAGCTCGTCCGATTTGGAAGAACTATGAATTTAAAATAAAGTATCCATGTGTGAATGCATATATGAATAGCCAGAGTACGAGTTTTACGGTAAACGGGCGGCGCAGATATTTGTTCGTGTGGAACGGCGTAACGAAAGACAATCTCATTGGTGTTATTATCGTGGCCAAATCTGATTTCGAAATTCATCGGTAAACATTATACCAATAACTGCTGTAAGCTCATACACGAGAATTTCAGGCCACTCTCAAAGTACATGTCAAAATGTCTGTTTGGAGACAAAAATAGACGTAAAAAAAAGTGTCTGTTGCGTTTCGCCATAAAAAAACGAAAAAATCGATCTCTTCCCCCGTGAACATGTGTTGTATGTCATGTAAATAGATTAAAACTTACGCCGTACTCGGACTTACGATGTTAGCATTCAGACGGATTGCAAAGGGTAATGATGGTGGAGGTGATGTGGCGGCGGCGGGGGTAGCGGTTGTAGTTGATGGTGTACGTGGTGCATGTGCATCGATGGATGGGCGGCGGTGACGGCGGCTCCAGAGTAATGCAACGGTCACTGATGGTGTTTGATGGGCCCATTGCCGTGGTGGCCGCCGATGACTTGCATGTGATGTTGGTGATTGGCGTTGGCGCTACCGTTGCTGTTGTTGTTGTTGTTGGACTGCTGCTGTTGTTGCTGCTGTTGCTGTTGCTGCTGTTGCACGGCCTGCCGCTGGCTGTTCTTCTTGTTCTTCATGCGCCTGTTCTGGAACCATATTTTCACCTGGCGTTCGGACAGCGCCAGGTTCCGGGCCAGCTCCCAGCGCTTCTGTTTGGACACGTACGCGTTGAACAGAAACTCCTTTTCCAGCTCCAGTGTTTGGAACTTCGAGTACGGTTTTCTCTTCTTGCGCACGGTCACCTGACCTGTCCACTCCAGCGGGTTAGATCCGACACCCATCCCAATGCTCGACAACGAACCTGCGAGCGTACAAAGAAAACGGCGTTAATAATAAAATATACCTGTGAAAAATCGCTCGTGTATTGTTTTTTAGAAAATAACTGTATACAGGTCAATGAAACATTTCTCACTATTTTATTACTATAATTTAACACTTATATAATATAATACACATATTTATAAAAAAATATTTCTAGTATTCATTATATTTACGTGTTATATAATGTATAAATCTGCAGCATTGCAGAGAATTTTTTTTTTTTAATTCAATCGTATCATGATAGAAGTAATGCGTTAAAAAGCTTCTTAGAAATCTAAAACACTAAAAATTAGTTTGTAATAATGACGTTCAAAATAGTTTACAACACTACGTAGTGGTTTTACTAAACGATTGACAGTTCAATAACGCAATATGCATTTTTTTTTTTTTTCGAGAAATGATTAGTTTTGATATTATTGGGAAGGTTTTCTGAAGCAAAAAATATACGCGCAATATACATATATTTAATAAGATACTTTTGAGAACTGAGTAAAAGTTATAGGTATTATTTTATGGAGAATTATTACACTGTATCGTAAGTAGGTATAACTTCGTTGAAAGCTAGTTCTTTGGTATTAAAAGTAATTAAATCTATGTTGAAATGCTATTTAAAAAGTTACGTGTAACTATTAACGTCACGCGTATTATTACTACTAAACTCTGCATGATATTTATATCATTATATTATTTTGTTCGATACTACTACTTACTAGTAATAATTTTTATCATAATATGCACCTATTATATAGTATTTATCATAAAATTACGTTATACGCTTTGTATAACTTAATTTCGCCACTCGTCAAGGGTTTCACGTAGTTAAAATTATTATAATGCGATAAGTTGCAACTCAAAGCAGGATCTAAAGTAATCAATTTTGAGCAAAACGACCATTACGGGTTATTTTATAAATCTATACCGAACTGGTCCCGGCATAAATATATTTTTTTTTTCTAAACTGATCGAAAACCATTTTTATTTTTATAACGAAATAACATTTAACACGTCACGGTCGATTTGCGCGTGTATTATATAAAATGATATGTTTACGGCCGGTTTGGCGCCCTTAGGCCAGCGCTCGGTCAAATACCTATTATACAATAATACCGGCGGCCGGCTTGTTCAAATGCCTATCGACTTTATGTTATACAGTGTCTGTATACAGGCCGCACGTGTACCTGTACGACTTGAACATCGATCATTTGAATATTTTTCTTGTTTAAATCGTCGAATCACTCTGTATAAAACCTTATATACGATGTAGGTATATACGTCGATCAACGCACGGTTATAATATGTACACGATAAAAGAGTTGCAGCGGGTGATCACACAGTATAATATGGGCCGTATAATACACGCATATACACACACCTTTATACCATAAATTGTGTAGACATAGGTGAGCGTTGCAGGTATATACAACACGCGTAAATGGGCAAGAGTATTCGCGTTTCGTCAAAGTGCAAAGAGCCGGGATGATTTTGTTTGAACACTGCAATTTTTCGTGGTTTTTTATAACAGTTTCTGTTCTGCGAATAACATCCCTCGCGCCCGCGGTCGGGGTGAAATTCGCAAACAACCTCCCCGAACGCTCTGGGTATACGACCCGTTCCCGATAAAATGCATGTGCATATACGCGTTGTTATATTATCACGTGTCCTGGTCGAAGTTTTTTTTTTTTTTTTGGCGAATTTCAAAACAAGCGTTTGTTTTTTCTTTCAGGTTTACTAAATATCATACGCATAGGTACTCTACACCTCTGATGTAACCCTTTATACGCGCAGTAAATGAATTTCACGCCAGAAAATAGGTATAATTTTACATATATATACTCCAGCAATAATATATTATGAAACGTATTCGTACACATTTATAAACCGTATTTATGGGGGCATATACTGCAAAGCAGACAATATTGTAAATTGTCGCGCATATACGATATAGTAATATGCATTACACAAGGGTTGATTTTTGTTCGATTTCGTAATGCGGTGCCGGTCAGGATTTGTCCGACGAAATTTATGTTATTCACACGGGCTTATATAGCTTCTGAATCGAAATCACTTACGAGACGTATCGTCTACATTCGTGTGTATATACACATAAGTACCTACTGAACACACACGCATATATCGAGCACGCGCATATAGATACCATGTATTAATGGGAGAAAATATACAGTCGGACGGGTGCCGCAGCTGTTCAGGGGCGGTGGCGCGCGGTGCGCACCCCGTCGCAGCCGCGAGTCGGCAACTAGGAAAATTAAAAAAAAATTGGGCTCTATTTTTTCGTTGACCAAATAATAATGTGTGCCTACATAGATTATATCAAAGTGTAGGAGACGTGCGTGACATATATGTAAAATATTATAAAACACGCCCGACGACGGGGGCAGACGGGTCGAGCGCGTAGAAACTAATAATAATGAGCAGATGTTTTATCGAGTATAAACGGAATTTAAATTTTTCTACGCGCTCACAAGAGTTCACGTACATATTATTTGTACACACGCTTGTGTGTGTGTGCGCGCGAGCGCGCGTGGTAATATAGTGCGCGCACACGCGTTATGGCTGTGATATTATTATTATGTTCCTTCGAAATGGCACTCGAAGTGTCGTCGGCGTACACATATATATTTAGTAATATTAGTATAATAACAATCTCGTAACCGACAGTGGTCGTCAACATTTGCGTAGCAGTAGCAATGTGTGTGTGTGTGTGTGTGTGTGTGTTTTGTACTGCATTGATATCGGGGTTTAAAGTAGCAAGAAATAACAGGAAGCGCTATAACTTATAAATATATATATATATAATATATTAATATCGTAGTGTTAGGTGTAATTTTTACGTATAAAAATATATAAAGTTAATAAATTAAAAACAAAAGGCATTTAATATCGATAAAAGTTAAAACGCTTAGTTTACTGAAGAGATCTAGATTTCTAAACACGGTGTAAGCCGACTAGACGATGAAAGATAGCATACCGCTACAGTCATTACCGCAATACTATTATAGTTTCAAACTAAACATTTTCGAAAGAATAAAATGTATTATTTCTTGGTGATGGTGAGATAATAAAAAATCATTTTCAAAAATAAACCGAAGTGTTCATTAAAAACTGCAATAATAATTATAAGGAATCGCCGATAGGTAATAACTGAACGTTAATCATACCTTTAAGAGTAAATGTTAATGGTAAATTTTTTTATTGTTTTTAGACATAGAAAGACCGAGTCTTAAACTTAACAACACCTCCTCACTTTAAGATCAATATATTATCCATAGTTTTGCGATATAGACGTTCTATCTATCTGTGTATAGCGCTTTGCTGTAAAATTAATTTAATTTTACGAACTCGTAGCAGCGTGAAAGACGAAAAATAATGAAAACCTGTTTTAGTCCCAATTATTTAAAAAGTTAGAAATACATGAAAACAGTTTAAGTATTAAGAATAACGTCTAATCTTTGAGAAACATGACTGTTTTGAATGAACTGCTTGTTTTTTAGAAACACTACAAGCTCACGGCACTGCACTCAAACGAAATAATATTTTTAGATTTTTTAATTAAAAGCTTCCAATATCTTTATAGAATAGTAATTAGTATTTTAATTTTTTTAAATATACGTATGTTTAGTCTAAAATCATTACGGCTTAAATATTTTCATTTAAACAAATATGTTTTTATAAAAGTGAGTATACAAAATGCCTTATCTCTCATGATATACACAGCACACCAAATTTAACACAAAATATGTTTAATACAAGCGTATAATATAGATTACTTCAGCAATATGGAGGTGGTCACTGAAGAGTTAAAAAATGATTTTCGTCTTGGACGATTTAGGTAACTAATTTTGGTGTTCGTCGAGTGACGACCGACCTGTAGTATAAGAACAGTGGCGGTTGTAGTTGTAAGAAGTGTCTCGAGTCATAAAGCTGTCACGAACTATGGTAATAAAATCAGTTAAGTGTAGCTTCGCCGTTTACGCACGGCCGCGGTCGGTCTAATCATTGTAGTTTTGGTCATTTCGGATGTCACGTGGTAATATTAATACTTGTACAGTAGGCCTGTTACTTGACATGCACGGAACAGAAAATTCTGATCGCAGTAGTGCGGAAGCTTTTAGTCTGGCAAAACTTATCGGTCGTCAGCGTCCGCGATCCTCCAGGGACTACTACTCTATACGGCTCCGATTCAATGTGATGTACATAAAGTATCTAAATGATGGCCGCGCGAATTTGTGCAAACAAAATAAATAATATACCGAACAATAAAATAATAATAATGGTTTGCAACTGAACAGAATTCGTCATACAGGGAAAACACCTATACATCGCGTTATGGGCGGCTACCGAGTGCAGAAAAACCAGCGTATTATTAAAGATGCGCGTATATTATGAGGGTGCGGACGCCACCGCCGTACTCCGCCGTGGGGACAGCTGCAAATTACGCGCGGTGGGACGCTACGTCGGTAGGTCGGTCGGTATGTCGGCGGTGACGCGATGCATTGCAATTTTAGCTGATATTGTAAATAATATGTCATTCGATTATAACGTTTTTTATTTTTATTTTTTTTTTACGCTCGTTTTCTATTTTCGCGAAAATTATCCATCATAAATCACTTCCGCGATAACATTTCGCGTCAAACGGTTTATAAACTCCACCGGTTTTCCTTCGCTTCCGCGACGAATAACGCGTACCTATATTTTAATAATATAAAACGTCGTACGCGATCGTACCTACCACACGCGTGTACGTGCGACCGGGCCTATAACATGATACATACACATAATATAGCGATTTAACGATATCATTATGTAATGACGTGCGCGTCGTATGCATAAACTTGAATATTATATTAAATTATAATGTACCTACACCGAGAATACGAAAAAACTGGTCGAGAGCGGTGTTCGCGAACGCGGTCACGCGGTTCCGCGAAATCAAAACCTCCGCCTCGGTACGATATTATTATTTAAATTCAGACATAATAATATTATAAACATAGTACGCGTTCGATTCTTATTACCTATTAGGCGGCGGACTACGACGGATTCGGTAGCACCGAACGATGTATATTATCGTCTTCGTTATTATTATTATTATTATTATTATTTTATTATAATTTGGATCCCGCGCGCGCGGTATATACATGGATTTTGGGCATTTACCATCAGTCCATACGACGACGATCCGATACCGATGCCGCTCTGCGTGAGTGCTGCGTTGACCGTGTAGTGGGTATAATATACACACAATGATGATAATAATACACGCGGCGGCATCGGCATCGAACTGCCGCGGCGGAGACAGCTGACCTACCCGTCCAATAAAATCGTATACTTTACGGCCGCCCGTCCTTTTGTACGCGGACGGACGCCCGTGCACGTATCGCCTCTGTTGCTCGCACCGCACAATAATAATATTGTAAACTATATATATATATATATAATATACATAATATGTATAAAGCTTATATTATTATATACACGCGGCTGCTGCACTACATGTACATATATTATACATTATAATATATACGTCATGTGTGTGTGTGCTGTACACTACCCCACTCTTCTGCACCCACCCACGCGAGCGTGTATACGAGACGGCACATTTACCTACTGCAAGCGGGCGTGGAGGAGAGGTAGAAAAATAAGAAGAAGACGAAAAAAAAAAGGCCGTAATATATTACGTCATTACGCGCGTCGTGTTTGTTTTGAAATAGTTTGTTCACGTCCAAATTTTTATACAAGTCTCCAACCCCGCGGCACGTACCTATATTATACGTACGTAGTTCTCAGAACCGGGTCAAACGTCGTCGTTGTTACTATTATCATTTCGTATCCGAAAAAGTAAAACCGTCGTGCACATAGAGAGGTGTGACGAGCACATCGTTTCTCTTACGATACATATAGGTGCTGTGAGATGGATAAGACGCGACGGAGGTACATAATAATATTATAGTCGGTCGATTCAAAACGATAGTACGTACCTGTTGGCGGGTAAGGCGTCGACGAGACGGGATCGTGCGAGCTTCCGTAGTTCCTGAGCGGCAACGACGACGGAGGCGGCGGCGGCGGCGGCTGGTACGCGTTGTCGTGGCTGAACGGGCCCGCGGCCGGACCGTCGGCCGAGCCGGACGTCATGCGCGACGAGTTGTTTCCGCCCCGGTCGTCGCCGGGACTGCCGGACTGCAGGTACGTCGGCTGCGGCGTGTCGGCCGGGCCACCGCCGCCGGACGGGTGTCGGGACGCCGAAGCGGCGGCTGCGGCTGCGGCCGCGGCTGCCGCGGCCACGGACGACGAAGACGATGAGGACGTGGTGGTGGTGTACGGCGAGTAGTTGGTGCACCAGGACTGCGAGAACTGGTGATGGTGGTCGGCGGCGGACGGCGGTCCGGCGGAACTGCTGCACGGCGTCACGCCGCCGTTGGTGTATTTACTGGCGAGACCGCCGCCGCTGCCGCTACCGCCGCCTAGACCGGCTCCGCAATAGTCGGTGGCCGCGGGCGACCAGAACGGAAGGCCCGTTGGCGGTTTGCGGCCGCCGCTGCCGCCTCCACTGCCGCCGTCCATGGACGTCCGGTGATGGTGGTGATGGTGGTGATGGTGGCCGCCGCTAGCGTCCGCGGCCAAGTTGTAGTAGGTCGGCGCGGCCGGTTGATGGTGGTGGTGGTGATGAGGCGGCGCGGCGTACTGGTCGAACGCGGCGTGGTCGACCACGGCGGGCGAGTACGCGTTCCACTGGTGATGCGAATGTCTGATGACGCCCGCCGAACCGGCGGCAGTGTCCATGCAATCGTAACCGCCACCGCCGCCTCCACCGCCTCCGATGGAATGCGATTGTAACCGTTTGGCCGGTATGTGTAACAGAGGCGGCGGCTGCTGTTGCTGTTGCTGTGGCGGCGGCGTTACGGAGGACGTGATCGGCGTGGACGACGGCGACGTCTTGATGACGGCCGCCGGCGCGGCGCGCGCGATATCCACCGACGGCGGCTGCAGCGACACGGACGACGGAGGCGGTGGCGCCGGCGGGCTGTCCTCGTACAGGCCGCCGTTCATCATCGTCCACCAACTCAGCCCGGGTCCGGCTGTCGGGGTCGGGCACCCTGCACCGGTGGTAACATCGTGTTCACCGCCACCGTACAGCGTACCGACGGCAGCGTCCCCGAGGTCGCCGATGATGATAATTGTTGTGGTTTCGGACGGGGTTTAGGTGACAGACAACCGCGGGCGTAGGTGATAGCGGTGCAGTAGACGATGTCGGCAGCGTTCAGACGTCGGTCGGCGTTTGGTCAAAGTCGGCAACAGAACACAAGAAGACAAGTCCAGATCAGTTTAGAGTATTTAACGGTTAAACATATCATATATATATATATATTTTTTTATATATATAAATATTGCGTGCACGTGAACAGTTGTGTTTATTATAAATAAATATTTATATTAATAATAATGTTATACGAATCGCTGGCGCTTGACCACCGGACGAGGCGCGCGAGCGATAATTACGGCTTGGCGATCATAAACTGCCGGGGAATCTTTTGATCGCGAACAAAAAAAAAAGTAAAAAAAAATATCAAGTATGGACGCATAAGCCTGCGGTGCAAAAAAAAAAAAAAACCGTTGGGTAAATTAATTATTGTGATCTCCCCCGTTTCACTTTTAAAAAATTTCAAATAAAATAAAATAAAACAAACGATGAAATTAAAATTAATTTTAAAAAACCGAAAATGCAAAACTTCGCGGCAGACGACGATGTTTCAATGTTATTCTATGTTATCGTGTATATGCGAAATACGCGACGGAACTACCGAGACCGCGGACGGCGCGTGTGCGTGTGCGGCGGAGGTCCGAAGTTTCGTACGCACGGTGCACGAGAGCGGACTGACGTGAGAAGTGACGACCGCCGATGACGGGTGACGACACACCGCGCCCGACGGCTCACAAACGGGCCGACGCGAGCGCGTAGTAGTTGGTGTTTAGCGGCGTGGTGCACCGTCGTCGCGCGCCCGTTTGCATGCGCGTGTGCGCGCGCGCCGCGCTCCCGTCTCTCGCGTCCGCGGCCCGACCGCCGCGCTGCTCGGCGGACCGGCCTCGTACTGTGTCACCGCCGTCGGCGCTCGCAACAGCGCTGCTCTCAGGGCTGTCGTGCGGACAGAGCCGCTGCTGCTGCGGCCGTAGCTACCGTGTCTTATGTACACAATGCGTACTATTACGGAGTCGAAACATTATTATTATTATTATATTTTTCATGTCCGCCCGCCGTCGCCATAACGATGTCAAAGGCGCCCTTTCGTCGCGGCGAGAATTATGATAATGGCGCGCACCCTCGACGTTTTCGGTCGTTTCTGCACGAGCCTAATATCATATTATTTTAATCAGAATTAAAATTGTACAACCCTTAATGTCAGAAATTATTGTGAGATCAAAAACTAACCGTATATTTTATCATCTATTTGACCGTCATCACGCAGGTTTCCCTTGAACTTCACAGAATAAAACTTATACGTATTTAATAATACCTATGTAAAAACCATTCTTTTTGTATTTTTAAATGTATAGCTGTAATAAACCTTTACCTGAGGGTATGGTTTGATTCAATCCATTCATTATAGGTAGTCATTAGTATTTTTAACCATTGATATATACTCGGAACTATGCAGTTTAATTTGGAATTTATAACATTAGTATATATATATATATATATATATATATGTATGTAAATGTATAAAAGTCTCAAACACATTCAATAATAATTTATAACAGAATAGTAATACAAAATTTGTTGACTTTTTTTTAAAAGTAATAGAAAATAATTTTAAATAATTTCAATATTATATTGCTTTGATAAAATATCATGTGCTCTTATTTATTCGAAATTCGACCGATAATTCTATATATTAGAAATAACTATAGCCATATGTATTCTACATTGTACGGCTGCAGTTTATATATCTATTATATAATACCAGACAACGGAAATCTAAATTGACTCGTTGACGTGTTTTAAACACTACTTTTATGTGTATACCTAAATTTGGGTTTGAAAACCTACAGATGAAAATCAACCTATATAATATAACATCTATATTTTATAACGTGAAGAGTGATTTAGAAAATAATATACCTAAGTATACTTTATATATATAATATTTTAAACCTGCAGCATATCTAGTATAGGGGATACCTATAGGTATATATACGTATTTAATGACGTTTTTATATATGCATGTTATACATAAACATACCTATGAAGTTAACAAATCCGGATTCCGGTTCCATATATCTGTGTTTCATATAGGTACACAAGGAAGACTGTTCGGGAACCGGCTCGTCAAAAATAATATATTATTATTCATCACGTCCAAAAAATTCGATGACTATATATAATATACATATATATATCACATACAAAACTATTTGAAAGCTGTGCGCGGCATAATACTGCAAGATGCATATTATAAAGGTATATATTTACAATCCTTCTAGAAATAGGCACTATATACAATTATTATATATATACCTACCTATATACATGCGTTATATATTATATATATATATGAAAACCCATTACTGACGACGGTCTGACGGTAAAATAAATTGTATTTCTGACCTCAACCCTTTTAGAGTTTACGAGAGATAACGGTCGTATACGCTGTACGTATAAGCTGCAGCTATGTATGTATATATTTATATATGGTTTATATATTTAATATGAGTGTGTATCGATATACGGCATGATGTATACCTATTCCGGACGCCTGAGCGGCGACTTTTGAAATACGAATTCGAATAACGGACGCCATATACGATATAATACAGCATGACGTATATATTGAATGTGTATTATACATATACTTCCATGATGTGTATGGTTATAACTTATAATCGTTAAAACACGCTGCAGTATACGGCATTACGCGACAGATTATATGCATCTATACCCTTAGGTGTAAATGTTGAATTTATGTATAATATTATGTGCTGGCAATAGACAGATTTGCACCGGTGTATAGAAAAAAAGAAAAATGAATAGAGAAGATCCAAATATGAGAAGGGAAAAAAATAAATATAAATAAAAAGAAATGGCGCGTTAAAAGAAGCGTCGGCGCAACGCGTGCGCCCAAAATCGCAACGTACCTATACAATATAGGTATATAAAATATTATTAGCGTTATAAAGGTCACATACAGACAGATTAGTCCTGCATTTACACGGCGCGGGACTCTGTATACTATGTCGGGTGTCTACGCATGTGTATACATTGTACTTAAGACAAATTTTTCTCTTTATATTATTGTTGCGACACAACAAAAGCGGTGTTGACTCTTGAATCGTGGGGCTGATTCCGAATATATGCAGTAATACATTAATATAGGTACATTATATATATATGGGACACCTATTGTACAGAACAGCAACACACACTCGCCATTATTATATATTATGCACCTATAAATACAAAGCATCTTTGCGATCCGTCTAACTATACAGCATACACACGAAAAGTTTTAGTCACGGCCCCTCGATGAAACGTCAAATAACATTGTATAAATGGATGTATGTATGGCAAGAAAAAGAGGGCTCGACAACAAAAACTCGAAAAGAAAAAACAAAAAAATATATATAATATATATAGGTTAGGCTGAAGCGGCTGAGGGAGACTTCAGTATTAGGTTGTTGGTAGTAGGGGAGAGGCATTGAAGACCGTCGGGAGACGGTATAATACTGTATGGCGTCGTTATTACATTATAACCGGTGATATGGAAAATTGCGCATTGTGTCAGCGGCGGCGACGGCGTCGTAGTCGACTGCAAAAGAAAGGCAGGCGCTGTGTAGACAATATATGCATATATATATATAATAGCTGATGTACAAAATTATTATATTGTATATTTGTGTCTCGCGATAGGGGATCACCGCCGAATTTAATCTGTAAGTGCAACGCCGCTGCATCAGGCGAACGGTGTTCGAATTTTATGATGCGTATGAAAAACAAACGACCGAAAATAATGTAATAATCTGTTTACCATATCTCTCTCTGGCCGTCATCACTATGGCTCGAAAAACAGTTTTCTAGGGAAAAAAATACAAAAACATTCTCGGTGGGTATATCTACCTATATAATATTATTATATATATGTGTGCTGTGTATTATATGGGCGGTAGACGAGCAGATGAGCCGACCGAGTTTTTAATATTTATAAAGAAGTTTCTATGTGGAAATTTATAAAGATGTCAGACTCGTACTTATATATAGGTATATAACGTATATAATTATATAAAGATGTCGTCGTCGCGGTCCACCTGCGCTTAGGTATCCCTAAAATATAATAATATTAAATTATCCACGAAAAGTAATCACGCAGACGGCGATACTTTAATATTATCGTAATATATTACAATGATAATAACATAACTACGCTAGCTACAGCCGCCGTCTACTGTATAGATCTCAATCGGCTATGACACCGGTCGCGGCGGCGGCGAACGCCGCCATCTTTGTGCGCGCATGTCGGCTCATTATACGATTTTCGACTGGTCCGCAGACGCGCCGCCGCGGGAGGTCCCGACGTCCGGACCGCGCACGCACACCACTGCTCATTATCTACTTTTCATAAACTATTTTTGTGTATTATTTATACCAAATTATAATTTAGCTAAACATTTTTATTTGTGTATCTATATTAAATTAACGAATATGGCTTAACGATAATATATAAGCACATCATGTATATATATATATATATATATATATAAGTTTATTATAGGTACATAATATAATATTTATTATTGTTAATGTAAATATAACTACATGGGATTATGCGAAATACAGTATACAGGTTTATAGATAGTAGGTATATTATATGTATATAATCTATTTGTTGTATATGATGTTTCACTGCTTTTTTTTCTAGCTATAGTCAATAACTTATTTTTATTTTTAATGTATTAATATTTTAGAAAATAATCACTATTTAGTTTACTGTAAATTATTATTATAGATTACCTATGTACAGTACAAGTAATATCTAATGACATTAATTATAGGTCGATACAAACATTTATGATGTTCCTAAACTCGAAATAAAAAAATTAAAACTGCTGTGTTTACGTTTCTTAATAATGAATCATACATAGTGCGTGCGTATAAAACTGTTAATATATTATATTATGTAAATATTTAAAAAGTATGGTTACTAAATTTCATTGAATATTCAAATTTTAGTTACTTATATATTATTATATGTACCTATAAGTTTTTAACTTTGTAAATTACTAACATGCATGAGACTATATATAGTAGAAAATAAGTGTACCTATATTATAGTGCGTGGGCGGGTATGTAGAAAGGAACGCGGTGAATAACTATATGAACAAATATATCTATGTTTATAAATCCAAGTTGTTATTCGATGGAATTCTTAGTAAAAATAAAAAAATGACTAGGAATAAAATTAACTCCATGAAATACCTATAGGTATAATAAGTAAATAAGCGCGGGAAAAATCGCACGCGACGTTGTTTACTGAAAATTTCCATATAACAATATAATATGTGTACTTCCTGTATATTTAATGTAAGTAGGAACATAAAAGTATAAATATATGTAATATAATTTAATATTTGCGTGCTTAAAATAGAAAAAATAATGATAGATTTTTTTGTGCATGGATTCAATAATTACCTTGGACGCTGGCCAGAGTGATAGCAGGCAAGAAACAGTGCAACCTATTAACAGAAACAAATAAACATAATTGATTATTTTTCAGTTCTAGTCAAACTTAGGTTAGGTATACATATCATATTTAAGCACAATATATAGGTATATGACGTATGCACACGCAACCATCATGTTATGTTATAATATATTGAATATTCACGTGGTGGAAGAGAGACCTAAACGCTGTTGCACGCATCGCTGCACTGTAAATGCACTGAAATACTGCATGCTGCACGCGCGGCCACGGGACAACACGAACATATCACATTATAAATATATATATAATATATATACTAGTATACAACGCGTGTGTTGTTTGTATTTGATGTATATATACACACTATATTTATGTAAATATTATACGTCAAGTATAGATATACCATGCGTAGATATATATATAATACTCGCACGAATATACAACAGCAGGGCTGCAGTATTTATAAATTTACGCCATCGAGAATGCTCTAGTTTATAAATATTATAATGTAGCATGTTATATATATATATATATATATATATATATAGCTTCATATTCTAATAATATAATCAATATATTTATTTTATCCACAATATTAACTCAGGGAAGTTGATGTACCAATACCATATTATCCTTTAAACAATCCTTTATAAAACTTGCGATATTTTATTCTCACTATTTTAGAAATATAAATTTATATAATATGTATTTAGGAATAAATATAGTTATAATTTAATTTAATAGTTAACTGTAAAATTCTAGATAAAATATATTATTTTTTTTTTTTTTTGCTTGAATATTAGCTTAAAGCCATTTTAACTATACTCAATAAGTTTACTCCGACTGAATTAAATAATCATATAAGTAATATTGGTATTTTACTTTAAATTATTCATGAATAATCTATGACTATATCATGCATAATTATTTTAACCCCTTCAGATATCTCGTCACCTGCTGTAGTAAATATATTTATAGGTACAGGTACATTCCGACAGATCTGCGCACATACATACAAGATATTATTAATATCAGATATATATTACATTATTACCTACCTATTATTGAATATGTATATATATTCAACTGTATAATTATGACGAGGGAGTAGGATTTATATATTATAACTGGTATAAATTATTGTAACCGTTGAGAGCTGGTATGTCTAGTTGTGTCCTTAACTATATATTCTATTGGTATACATTAAACTACATGAGTGCCGAAGAAACGTTCATTGGCATAATATGTACAATTATGTATGACGTCTATATATATTATATATACATTGTATGGACATACATATGGTTTATGTATGTAAGTCTTAATATTATATTATTATAATGTACAACCATTCCTATAGGTTCGCCGGGACTCGTGAGATAAATAAGATGTATTTTTTGTTATTTATCTTATTTTTTTTATAACAACTTAAAGTGCACTCGAGCATATGATAAACATGTAGTAACATTCAAGTACCTAATATGCTATTATAGCGGTATATACCTATTTTAAAGCCCTTTACATTATATGTAATAATAATTGCACTACGCAAACAACTTAAGTGCTGCAGGTCTGTTCGATATAGTATAATATACTTATGATTTTTCGTAGACGCGTTATGTGTATATATTACATAATGTAGTTTGTCATTTTTAATATCGTATACTATGGTGGTCACATATGAGTTTTTGTTGACGAAAATAATAAATCTTCGGAATAAAAAATCGTTGTCCCTGCAGCTATAGTGTAATACATTCTCAATCAACAGCAGCTAATAAATAAATCACTTAACCCGCATACAATATAAATTACATTTATAATACACCGTTTATGCATATAATTATTATACAGAGACATTATTATATTCTTAATACAATACTAGCATTGATATACGAATGTAACAGTGCGGCTGCAATATTTGTAATAATAACGATTTTGATATTCGACGAGCTATTTGCACATCGTTTTTAAACGAGAAAAAAATAGGTACTGTATGCAAGTTATCAAGACTATTAGTGTCGAAATCAAAATTTTTTCAAGGAGGTTTCAAAGACTTTAAAGAATCAAATTTCAGATAAAATAAACAATCTTTTATTGTAAAGTCACATAACTTAACCACTGAAGGGTCCAAGAGAGGAAGGGTCCTGACCGGGAATACCACCATTTACCCCTCTATTATGCGACTGCACCTATATACTAATATATATTCATCTTCCTTTAGCCCACCTTGAAAAATATTCTGGTACCACCATAGTTTAAAGCATAATATATGTACTTTAAATATATAGTGCTCTAGCTGCATATATATGACAGTAATCAACTAAGAAACGTATTAAATATATTGCAGAGTAAATATTATAACATAAAATAAGTACATCAGTAAACCTGATGTTATTGCACAAACAGATCATAAATATATTTTTTTCCAAAAAAAAACAAAGCTATATTTATCTAAGTGTCTTCGCAAATCCACACTGTTGTATCTGCATATTTCATCATTGCGATATATATATATATATATATATATAGGTGTTCAAGAACTCGGTTCAATACATAATTAAATACAAATATCTGCAAATAGTCGCTATTATAGTTAAATTATATAACGTTATCCTGTACATTTATCTTTGTATAGCTTTATATATATTATATTTATATTTACATATGCAAGATGCAAGTCTATTATGTATATATATATATTATAATCTTTGAGACGGAATATACTACGACATTACACGTGCAGAGCTGGTTTTGGAATATAATTTCCGGTTACAGCGGCATTTACGACCGACGTCGGACTTCCTATGTTATATACCTACTTTATATAAATATATAATATACCTATGGTGTATTATTATAGATTGTACTGAATTATAATATAATTATATAGCATTACTTAAATAGATAGTTTATTCGAGTGTGTACCGAAAATAAATTTAAGGGAATTAAAAAAATCACAAATTAAAAGTTATAAAATATGTAAGTAAAAGTATTTTACTAAATAATTTCGGAGTAGAAGTATTTAAATCCAGATCAACTTTTTTTATTTAACTACACTTGGAGTTATATTGGAAAGCTATAAAAAAAATTATAAACATAATATTATAAAGGAAGTTGACGGGCCAGGGTGGTATAATACTAGAATTCACACGTATATTTATATATATTTATATTATACATATTATGTAGATTTGTGCGTTGGTTGGTCGCAGCTAATAGATTCGTCACGTATAAATATATATATTTAATAAAAATGTATCATATACGCCTATCTGGACTTTATACAAGCGAGAATTGCGTCACACATGGGCCTGAAAATAAATATGCTGCTATCGAACACGCATCTGGTACAATATATATCATATCTATATACGTCCTCGTATATGTGTATAATATAATATAGATCAGCGGTTCTCAACCTTTTTTTTCGTTTCGTACCCCTAAACTTAATATTTTGCTAGATTGTACCCCTCGTTATAATTTTTAAACTTTTTCACATAACTACTTTTAAAATATTTAAATAAAAAATAACAAAAATGTCTATGTTAAATTCTATACTCCTTATCTATTAGATAAGTTTACGGTTAAGTTTTAACTTGTGACACAAATTTTTATTTTTAATAACTTATCATGAATATTTTCGAAATTAATTGTTTTAAATAAACATATTCAACATTTTTCACCAATAGCCAATTTTTTTCATGTACCCCTTGAGATCATGTCGCGTTCCCCTTGGGGTACGCGTACCCTAAGTTGAGAACCGTTGATATACATAAATATCATGATTTATTGCATGCGTGTACAGCGCGCGCGCGCACACACACACACACGTATTTTTACATATGTAATATAATAGGTATATAATAATTAACAATTACTACATTACACCATATCCATCATATATTTATAAATTATTATTATATTTAGATATACAGAATGATATACCTTAAAAAACGCATTTACTTAAGTTATGTAATATTTAAAGTTTTTATTAAAAACCTCAAAAACAAAAAATTTATCTCCACCGCCAAAGAATATTGTTTGATTAAACGGAATAACAATCTAAGTAGTTTAAAATACTTTAAAACCTTTAAATTAGTATATATTAAATTGGTATAAATACCTATAGATACTTAAAAATTTCAAAAATTTGAATATTATTATTTAAACGAATAAAATTGAAATATAAAAAAATATGATAACTTGACTAGACAACTATATAATAGATTTATTTAACCTACACCTTCTTAGTTTAATATTATTATAATATATGTCATCATAACAAGTAGTGCGTGCTATGCATATTAAGTATGTTATACTTCAGGGATCATTAAAATATGGCGGCCATAGACAAACTTTATCCAGTCATGGTTAAAAAATGTATACATTGATTATTATTTTTAATATGTAACTGTTCGAATAGGGTTTTTATTATTAGTTTTAATTTTGCATTTACTTTGTTTGGATAAGAAGCATGTAGACTATATTTTAGTGACTCTTAAAAATATCCTAAATTCCTATAATAGCCTTTCAAAAGTATTAATTACTAATTGGTGATCTGTTATTATATTATACAACACATTATACATTTATATATTATAATAGCTACTGTAAATAATTGTTTCTCGTTTATCTACTAAGGTGAACCTCAATAAAATTTAATAAATATACCTATTAACTTTTTATTTATAATTCAGCGATGTAGTCAGGAGCTGTAGAGAAATTTCAGGAAAATGTAAAAATGCTTTTTGTTTACATTTTACGTAATTTGTATGAAGGTTACTGCAAACGTCTAAAACACTATAATATATACCTACATGTATCACAGTGTCAACACAATAAACGTATGAGAGATTCTCATTAAACATCACACATTTAATAAATTTTCAGATATCCCTCTCAAAACAAAATCTCGACTATGTCATAGTACAGTACAGCAATAGTACTCATGATAAAAAGTATGTGTTCATGTGCAGCATACATATATTAAATATCTAAAAAAATATTATGTATTATATATATTTATAGTACACAAGTTAATAAAAAAAAAAATAATAATATTAGGTAATAATAATAATAATATGCAAGTATAAAAAAAAAATTATAATAAACACAGTACGACAATTTATCGCTTATACGATTTTACAATAACTATATTAACTACGAATTCCTACGTACCAAAATATATCGTGAATGATTTGTTTTTACTGAATACATACATATATATATATATATATATATATATATATATATATTTCCAATATTATCTGTCCCCAAAAACAGGCGATATAAAATTTAAAACTATTTTATAGTTACACATTATAATATATTTATATATCATAATACATTGAATAATATGTATTATTATACTGCTATTGTCACGTGTAGTATCATTATAATGACCGTCTAGGGTAATGTAAAAATATAAAATTAAAGTTGTAAAACAATATAACAATATTAATGCTTTTTTTGACGTCAATTCATATTATGCGTTCAATAATAAATTATATATATACATCATTGTTTGTATTAGTTTTGTCCTATACTTGCGACTGGGCGGTGCGCGCTGATATAACTGCAGCGATTATCATATATACACGATTTGTGAAATAAATTGACGACGGGCTTTAACTATAAAAAAGTTTAAAGCGCTTTGAATAATGTCTTATAATAATATTATATACTAAATATATCATTGCAAAACGATAGGCACTGAAATAGTTGTAACAAAAAGTTTCAGTCTACATATTATATTTATATATAAATATTCGTCTATTTCTTAAGCATCACGTTAAAACTTTATGTAATATATTTCATTCTTGTAATCTGTACATTTTAATCAAATTCGACGAAATTTATTTTGACTGCCCACAAAAATTTTAAATTTTAAAAATTATAAAATATTTGAATATTATTAAAATATCGTTTTAACTGTATTTATATGTATAATAACCCATATTCTAGAAGAAAATAAATATTTGATATGATATGCACGCTTTATTATTTTATTGTATTAATTCGATTGGAATCTATAGGCTATAGTTTTGCCAACAACTAAATTATTCAATTCAATACGTACGATAGATACGTTATGTGTGTGTGCCTGTGAAACACATGATATATTAAACACGATATGTCACATATCGTGTCTAATAAATATAATATTATGCTACACACACAACACAGCACACGTGCAACATACACATGTAGGCAATATATACATAGAATAGAATACTTAAGTGATTTTCTCCGATAACGCTATCTACGACAATAATATTATAATACATTTTTCAGGGATATTTTTTTTCATTTTAAAACCATCGATATGTTAAAAGGGCGTATACACACGATGCGATATAATACATACATGGTTATATAACATATCTCAATTTTTTTTCTTTTTTGACTTATTTTATCTGTATTTGGAACAGGTTTTTTTTCATTAGCGCTTTTACATCATATATATATTATTATATTACATACATATTACTTATGTATATATATATAAGATAATGTTTTTCAACACATGTGCAGCAGCCGTTTACACATAGCAATGCCTAAACATAATTATAATTATCTTAACTGATGAAATAGATTTATTTTCCTACTATTTTGGACACTCGAAGTTGATTAGAATTTTTAACGCGTTATTAGGATGTAAATACAAGTATATAACATTAGGTCTGTACTTCATTATAAAATCTATAAAATTAAATTAAATAGAATGCAGCCTGCACTGCTGTAAGAATGTAAAATATGAGGAGTGACTACTTGACACAACGACGTGGTCGGTCTCCGACAAAGTCAAATACCCTTAAAGAAAAAAAAAAGAAAAACATGCGTTTGAAAGATGCACATAATAACTACAAACTCACATAAATAACTCAAGGAGAGAAGGAGCCTTATTGTGTACATTGCGTAGCTATACGCATATAATATATTATAATATTAAATATTTTAATTTTACAATAGATAAGAATCTTAAAAAACCAGTCTTGTCAACGAGAAAAACATACACATAATTTATTGTAATAAAAATATATAATACATGAATTCTTTTCAACAAAACTATTCAATATTATTTAAGAATTTTCCAATCTTTTTTTTTAATTATTTAAATTCATGAGTTTGAATTCAAAAACGGGCATTTAAAAATATATAGTACATATTAAATATAGATATGTGTAACATATATACGTGTAACGTATATATAGTGTATACTCATATTGCAGTTTTGAATTCTAGGTTACAAACAACTATATAATAACACTCTTAACCTTTAGATAATTTAGTGCATTATACATATTATACCACACATTTCAGCATATCGATCTTATTTAAGGTTTCCTATATCTACTCTATACAATTGAACAGGACATTATAAATAATACAATAAATATATGTGGGTATATACAAAGAAATTGCATTACCTGTTTGAAAAATAACTTGACTGAAGTTGGGAGTCCACGATTAGGCGTTTACATTGGCTTCGTACAGAAATCTGTGGTCGTTCGTCGGTTGATGCGGCTATTCACCCTCTCGCTCACGGCGGTGGTCTCTCTGCTCTATGTCTTAGCCGTATCTAAAATGAAACACAACAACGAACATTATTAGAAATTAAATTTTGTATACACGAATGTACACACACGTACGCAACACGGAACGTCGCAATACACACACATAATATATGTATTGTATGCTATATACGTGCCACGCATATATAAAATACACATAGGTATATACGCACATATATATATATATATATATATATATATATATATATATATATATATATATATATTTATATTTATATACACAAAAACATAGGGTTGAGATATATCACAGCCTTCTCACGCGGGGTAGTTTAATTTCCTGCGTGCAGGGGTCCACAATCGCGAGCACTTGTACAGACGTGGGTCCCAATATAGCTATGGTGCAGTGTATATTATACAATATATAGCCAAAGCCGTTTTATCGCTCTACTCGAGAGTAAATTTTAATTTCGAATAATACAGTATATACATATAGCTCCACGAAGAACCACGTCGTTTTACCGAAAAGCCCGTCGGCTGTAATCCCTCGCGGGAAACGCCGCTTCGCACTGCACAATTGCTGGAATCCGTGGGACGGGCACTAATTAAAAACAGACCCCTCGTATCATGTTTTTAGATATATATATACATATATATGTGAGTGTGTGTGTGTGTTTATATATATAAATACACACACACACATATACATATATTATACGATTGCAGTGGTATTTCCTACCAACGCGTATTGCTTCACATTACAAACACAGATACATTGTTATTTTAAACTAATTACATCCGGGAGCTTGCGAATGAAGCAACCAGGGGAGCAAAAGTCCTTTTTTTACGAGAAAATAAAATATTCATACATGTTATATATTCCAATCGTCTAACTGAAAATTAATAATATTTATTTAACAGCAAACCGTTATTATTACTTAGGTATTTTGATTTTACGCTGACGATTTTCGTAGGGAAAATGTAGGGAGTAATAGTGTAAGGAAAAAATCGTAGTTATTATCACATATTATTTATTTAATAATTAAATAATAATAAATACATATTAAACCTATAATTATTGATTTCTAAAACCATGTTTTTCAGATATTTTAAATTTCATTTGAAAAACTGCAGATTTAAGTTCACCCTCAATGACACATTCTCCACTATACCATTATAGAAAAGGAGATACTGTGGGCTTAGATATTTGATATCTAAGATCTGCCAAGAGCCAGCTTGAGCCAGTTCTTAAACTTTATTAGTTAAAGACGAGTCTAGACGTAGCCTTTAAGTATAATTAGTAAAATCCTTTATACTTCTTGATCGATTAAAATTAAGTAGGAGGAAACTTTAGTACAAACCGAACAATGAAGAGTTCAAAACTACAATAAAAAGTTTCTGGCTTGGGAAATTTGGATTACCCAGAACTTTCTGTTGGGGGTCTATAATGTGCGTCTCGGATATTAATTCGATCAAACTGTATTACCACCAGAGTCAGTGCGCAAATGATACTATATTAAATTATACCAACAATTTAAAGTCATTAATACAGGTTACAGGAATATAAGTGGTTTTTTTTTTTTTATTGCTTATATGATTTATAATATTTTATTAAATTTCATAACGCATGAGTAAATGTATTTAATGTTTAAAATGTTTATATGTTTTCATATAAATATATTATTATTTAAAAATAATTTCAACTAAACAAATGTTTTTGTGATTAATTATTTGATATTAATTAAATATATATGTATATTATAATGAGTAATTAATTAAAAGTTATAATGTATATGTGCATTAAAGTTAAACATAAAATGTAAATAAATTTGTTTTATTCAGAGATTGTTATATAAAAAAATATAAATTAAATGTCGACAGAGAACTTGCTTATTTAAATGATCCGTGATATTTTACAGATTTAATACTCCTACCTAAAACATCAAACGTTGTTTAAATGTATTTCATTACATTTTTTAAGATTTAAGAACGAAAACAATTTTCGTTGTGCTAAATGGTCATGAATTGTCTTGTCGTTTTCAACATGTCACCAAATTAACTGCATTTGTTTATATTACAAAACATATTATAGCTAAGTACTACAGGTTATAATATACAGCCTGTAAGAACGGAGAATCATATAAATTCGTAAACATAAAGTCATAACTCACTTAAGTAAATATTATAATTTTTAATTCATCATAGATGTTAAATTTAGCAGGTAGGACAAAAAAAAATCATAAATGTTTTTAAAAGAAATGATAAAATACATGAATCTTTATAACCTGCACATTATGTATTCATCTTGTAACTTTTAGTTAGTTTTGACTTTTGTTTCATATTTTCACTTTTTGTCTTTTTTTCATATTAAAAAATAATATATAAGTATTTTATATACACATTTTATACTATCTAGAAAATTTTGTTTATCTATAGGTACCTCTAACTTTGTATATTAATAACTACGTATATATATAATTTTTGTATCATTAAAATAATTAATATATATATATCATATATATATTATTTAAGTGATGGTAATCTGAGCTTCGTGTGCGGGCCATCTTGCATCTCTCATCCTCTTCCCCTATCACCGCTTCTGTTGGTTTTCAAAATGCGTAAGCATTAGTGGCCCCATCGCTAAGGCCGCCGTAGTAGAGACGAATCTCCGCCTTTCCCGTATACATAATTATAATATATATCATCTATAGTTGTAAACGCGTCTCGTGATGGTGATTAAAATATAAAACACGTGTATATGTATGCGTATGCATATACCTATACTGTATAGGGGAGAAACGCGTATTTATCCTGCTGCGGGACGGCTGTCGTTCCAAATCGTCTTGCGACACATGCAGTGACGAATGATATATGTATTAAAAATGTCCCATTCGAAAATGAAAACCGTCTGAATTTATTTTCGGGCGCGTGTGTGGCGCGGTCGACCGACAATCTATGCTACACTATTTATTATACTCTACAACTACACGCGTCATATAATAATATACGAGGGACCCCGACGTACTATGTATAATATAATATATACATGTATACATATTTACCATACGGGCGGCGATGATTGACACGGACGCCTCGATCATCGATCGCCTTCGCTACGATATCATTATTGTGTGTAAAAAAAAACACAGACGCGGTGTTGCAGCTGCACATGCGGAGGATGGAAATTTCGAGTGGAAAAATGTATAGCATACAGAACAAACGAAGGAAAATAAGTTTTAACCCAAACATTTGGAAACATTATATATATATATATATATATATATATATAACCATAAACGTCTATGTTGTAGCAGTGACGATATAAGGTATATTAATGAACGTTAACAAATGTGGTCTATTATAATATTATAAACACGCTGCTACATCACACATGTATACACACACGCCGTAGTCTAGACGCCATTTTCCTTGAGGTATTACTTCTATTTACATAAAATCAGTAGATATACTTTTTTTTAATATAAATACACGTAAACTATACATAGATACAGCCTAATAAGTCGTTTTAGATAGGTATAGGTATATGCATCTCATGTTTTTAAATACTTATATTTTGATGTATATTATTATTTAGTGTGAATTTTCCGAAATAGAATTTTTCATCAAAATAAATCGATACGTCGTATATCTACCTACTACAGTGACCATAAGAACGTTTCCTTAGTTACATAATATTATACCACAACCTAAATACGATATATGAGAATATTATATATGCATTTAAATATACAATTTTTATTGATATATATTATGATATAGATATAACCTGCAGATATAAGAATAAGTTCTCAACAACGCTATTCTTGCATGCACACTTAAATATTATATTAGTACCTAAAGGCTAAAAGGCTGCAGTTTTTTATTTTGTTCACAATTTTTTCCAATATCTGACGAGTAAATATTGATTTTGTCTATACTATATAGTATATACCTATATTATGTTTAAAGACTTATAAGTTACTTATGTCCTATATATGCAGTGAGTTAACAAAGTAAAGTCTGAGGTATTTTTTATTAATATTTACAAAACTGGTAATATAACTGCATCGTACCTACACCTGCTGGCTGATGGGTGAAATAAAATATTACATATTATATTATATGTATAAAAATTAATAGTGTTCAATGACGATGTGAAGCAATAATATAACTAGCCTCTAAATAATATATGCGTAAATTTATATGAATATGTTAATATTATACATACGCCACTTGCGTTCATAATCGATAACAAATAAATAATAAATTAATCATCTATAGGTAGGTGCGTAAAAATATAAAAAAAAGATTTTTGTCTTAAGTAAAATATTATTGCAACAATATTTTTTTTTTGATGTGAAACAAAAAATTGATGTAATTATTATTTTTTTTTAATATTAGAACGATACGCTATTATAATTAAATGAATACATAGACATTTTATACATCATGTTTACCAACTTATTATGAAAACAGTTTATAATCTATATTAACCTATTATACATTATAAATACTCAATAAATAATATTATTTGCTTTATAAAATTAATATATATAGTATATAGTATACATATATACTATACAGTCGGCATCATTGTTTATATATTTATACTGTAATATATTATATAAACACATGCAGATTTATTGCGATTGTATAAAAATCGAAATTCGACTAAATAGCGATCTGCTACTGCTGCCGACTGGAGATCGCAGTTTTATCGTATGACGGGTTGCGAAAGATGGAGAAGAGTAAACGTATATATAAATATACAAAAATACTATATCTATAGAAGAAATGCGTATTTATATATATATATATATATATTTATACTGAGCTACAAACGCACTCAAACCATAAAACCACACGGTCCTCGTCCTCGTCATCACGTTTAGGATTGTGTATTTTATACAGAGCGAAATAATTCCCGAGAATTGTGAGAGTGTGTTGTATATATAAGCCGAGGTAATTACGAGGTTGCTGTAGCAGCAATCTCAACTGACATTATCTGAGTCCCTGACAGACTTATACCCATCGCTAGTCACTGAAAGTA